AGGTAAGCACAAACTTAACCCTAAAATAGGAAGATGTCTAACAGAAGCAGATAGGAAGATGTCTAAACAGAAGCATCCTTTAGAAAAGAGCAGCTCTTAAAAATGGCATTTCTGGGTCACATTGACTGCGAAGGAACCATGATCAGTCGTGAGCTTTTCTGCAGCGGTGGGTCCAAGAACCAATCGCAACAGGATGATATCGAGACAATCGAGGGTTCCAGGACCTACATCAAGACCTTTGACCAGAAGAGCCTGCTGCAGGCTATGGGCAGTCCCAGCACGGTGCGCTATGTGGCCAGCTCCGAGTCGTCCAGCGAAATGCATTCATTGGACGAGACGGAGAGCTCCATTTTCCGCCGCTGTTTACTCGAATCCCAAAGGACACTGTTGGCCGAAAACGAGGAATATGCAGACGATCAAGAGCTTGAAACCGAAACAATTTGCCTGCATCTAGGAAGTCCTAGGAGTAGCAGTGGCAGCAACAATACCTCAAGCAACAGATCAAGCAACTCTCGCGAATCCGAGGACCAGGAGAAGAGCTCAACCACCTCCATGTGCAGCTGGGAGGAGGCCATGTCCCGGGGTGAGAGCTCCCAGGAGGAGACTCGCAATTTCAGTGTACCTTCACTACACCTGGGTTCCCATCGGGGCTCGGCTCCGATGACCTATACCCGTCGCCTTCATCCGCAGCGACTGGAAAGGCCAGCCGATGAGGCCTACGAGAACTGGCTGTCGGCCAAGCAACAGCAGGCCAAATATCGTCGCCAGGCGGAGCAAAAGTCCAAGGAGGAGCAACTGCAGCGAGCGGAGCTGCGTCAGCGGTTGTCCCAGGAGCGGTACGAGCAGTGGTGCCGCCAGAAGACACAGCAATCCCTTGCAGCACAGCAACACAAGCAACCAAAGTCTGCTCGAATCCCAGAGAGTAAATCCAATCCAGCAATCACAGATTCCCGCCTGCTGCAATGGGAGCGGGAAAAACTGAGGCTGGCGGAGAAGAGGCGTCTGCAGCTGCGAATGCCGAGCAACGGAGACAGCAGGAAAACCTAAAGCGTCAACAGCAGGCGGATCAAGCCTTCCAGCGATGGATGAGCCATGTGGATCAGCGACCCAAGCCAGTGCCCAGCAGTCAGGGAATCAACTCTCTGAGAGGCACCATCTCCGAACTGTACATCAATCCCAATCGGTGGGTGGACTGAGGCTGGGATTGGGGTCAACAGGACTCTTGAAAGGCGAGAGTGGTGTGGCAGCCTAGTTTCCTGAGCTACGTAGTCAAAGTTTGAACCAAGTTAATCTATATATTTACCCATTTAACACTATTAAATAGCATATAAAACCATTTGTAGTGATTGATTTAATGACAAACTCGGGATGTAATAGACCCTTGCTTTGTATTATATTAAACTCTGCTGACTATTCCAGAGTTCTGTAATCTAAACTTAACTTGGGTCAAGTATTTCCGTACTAATAGCTAATGCAAATGAACAGCAACAATCCGCCACATGCCATTAATGAGCAGATATAAGCCCAACCACAAAGGAGCTGTATCTGAAGACTATTACATCACATCTGTGACCCCCGATGAACCAGCTTCTCTTGAGTAATTCCCTTACACACGAACACTTCAAATCAAAACATTTCCAGCCATTCATAGTGGCCTAGTATTGATATCCTTTTCACAGGACTGCAAAGAGTATCCTTCTGGGTGTTTGCTTTGCCACTTTACTAGCAAGTGTTCAGTGCTCTTTCATTGGGATACAAGTAGGGATATGTGTGTCATGCCCATGGGATAAGTGAAAAATATTATACCAGTAGTAATAGATTAAAAAGTAAATTAAACTTTTATAAAATAACAACAAAAATGTATATTTTTTTATTATGATCTGTCAATTCTTAATAAAATATCCATCTCTAATTTTACTTCCTCCTCTTCATTTATGTTAAATTTCCAAGTCATTCATTTCATTGGTTTAACTTGGTACAGAAAGCGTCTCAAGTTAATAAAGCCATCATCGGACTGAAATGTTGGCGCCCTTGGCTGATTTATGTTTAATTAAATGGGCAAAGTTGTCCTTGCTCCGCTCTTATTTTTAAGAGCAGCTAAAACTCTGAGAACTCTCCACCTGTCGTCGCTTAGGTGAAACAATAAAAACGGGGCCAGGCCCAGGTTCGCAGAGGAAGAGCTGGACAGACAGGAAATAAATACAAAGTTATTAATATGAAAATGGCGTGCAGGAAAAATTGTGTTATTATTTGTGCTTCGGTTGGCCCCCAGGCCACTTGGCCTTAAGCGATTTAGTTTCTTCGTTTCCCATTTTTTCTGGCAAACACATTCTTCAGGCTTGCAAGTTGGATGAGATTCGAGATGGAAATTGACAGCCGTGGCTCAAAGGAAGGAGAACATAATACATTTCACCGCAAGTGATGATACAATTATTCATTGTAAGGCCGCTCAGCAGCAGCTCGTAGCCAATTTAAATGTTAATCAAATAAAGTATCTACCTGCTCTTATTAACCCAAAGCTGGACTGCTGCTCCTGGACTTTTCATCCAGTCGCAAAAAAATATGTTTGTAACATGAGTCGGAATGGAAAATAAAAAACAGGACATTCATTAATTATAGTGGTTCATATTTCTGGTTTTCTAGTAAATAAATAATTTAATTGAAAAAGATAAAGATAAGGTTCTAAAGATAACAACAAGCAATAGTTGTTATATAATATATATAAATCTATGATAATCACTTTTGATCTCCACAAGTTGAGCTGTTGGAAAACTAATAAACTTACCCTTTGAAATACATATATCCATCCAGAATATATATATATTTAAGCTGATTACTTTAAAAATCATTTTCTTACTCCATCTATAAACACATTTAATCCTTTTTTAAACCTTTATAGTTTTTCTTTTAAAAATCAACATTTTCTTTGCATGTATAGGGATATTCGTATTTCGATTTCCTGTTTTCCTGGTGGCATTTTTTAAATTTAATCACTGCAATTGAGCGTCATGGCATGCATTTCAAGCCTAGACAGATTTATCGAAAACACAAACAAGAGAACGCATTCACTGGGTATGAAAGCTAAGAGTGTGGAAAACACGAGGGGCAATATTTTTGCGCAAACATGATTGGCAATCGAGGGGGGACCAGAGTGGGTGTGGGTGTGAGGGTTGAATTGGCCAACTGCATGTTAACACACACCCAGACATCTGTAAATTGGCACACCGTCCTCACCCCCGGTCACCTCATTCCCACTGAAGTCAGGATGCACTCACTGCCAATGCAAGCTCCTCGAGTGTGTGACGAACACTGAGCTGGCAAAAAAGAAAAACGAAAAAAATGTGGAAAAGAAAACACATCAGAGGTGAAAGGTGAAAGCGCGGGCTTGTTTTATAAATGAAAATTCATTGAAAACTGATAGCGTGTGAAAATAAACCAAATGAATAGTCGGTGGCAGAATGAAGTGTCACTGGTTGGAGTTAACCGAAGGCCGGTATGCTCTATGATACAAGATGAATAACAATAAATTTATTTAGAGAACATTTTAATGCCTACAACATTTTTGTATAAGTAACAAGCTTTAAAGGTACAATTTTCAAATTTTATCGAGCACTGCTTATAACTTACTCAATAATATTTGAAACGGCTAAAAATACTTTGGAAATATCACCAAAGGGTATTTTAGAAACTTCGGCTATAGTCTTTGCCTTAATCCGGTGATACCATTTTGATTCGAACGAAATATGTCAACTACTAGACTTCCTTCAGTCAGCCCCCGTGTCATAGTGCTTTTCGGTGGCAATTAGCAACCAAAGCCGAAGCCAGATATTTTACAAGCCATAACAAGCGGATATGCTATTAATTAAAATAAATTGCAAGCCCGTCGGCAGAAAGATGAATGGAATCGGCTTTGAATAAAGTATGAACACATAATAAATATGTTCTCTAAAAGCAACGGGAAACTTTTTGAAATTTGAGTACTTCAGCAAAAATAAGTTATAACATCTTTTTATATATCATTTAAGAAATGTGTAAATATGTTCTATGAGCTTTTGATATGTGTAATTATATCGATAATGTTATATATATTATGAGTAATTATTTTAAATTAAATTTAATTAAGACTGTTAGTGTAAGACAAGGCTCTCAACGTGCTGTAAATTATAAGAAAATAAAAGTGAAAAATCATTTTTATTTGATAATTATGGCCAATCTCCTTTATTGAACCAATGAAAAAATGGTACAATTTATCACAAAATTGAGTTAATAAATAGCCATGCGGCAGCTGGGAAATATTCAGTGAAATATTTCCATAGATTGACCAACACACAATATTGGTGGACATACATGGGGCTCATGTATATATTCATACATTCCTACACGAATCGCCACTCTGCGGGAAATAATAATTTAATTAGTCCACACCGGAGAAAAAATTCAAGGAAACTGCTTAATTAATTAATGATACATTAATACTGAGAAAGGATATATAATGTTGTGTAAATATGGTGACCTATAATAAGTTATAAATTATATATTTAAGAGAAAACTCTAGAGATCCAATTTAATTTCTCTCTCTGCAAAGGGTTCTGTAAAAGGGTTATGGCTCTGTACAAAATTTGTATGCATATCAAAAAAACCAATTATGCAACATTTTGATGTCCCCAATTCCTATCAACCCCCTTAACCCACCCCTCTTTTCAGTTTCAGCCATCTATATAGCCTAGTGTGTATGTGGCTCTCAGTGTGTTGTGGCATTTCAATGGGGCTCGAGCATTAACGTTCAAAAGTCAATTAGTGGTTTTTATAAATGTGATTAAATAAGTGACAATGTTGTTTACTGTATTCAAGCTTTTCGGTTTTTAGCTTCATTTTAATTGGGCTAACATTGCCCCGCAAATGAGCTTAGGGAAAGAGCGGAAAATGGACAGTTGTTTCGGTATCGAAATATTGAACTTAAATTGGGCAATAGAATATACAAAATGTATCAGTCCAAGAGATTTGACCAAAATATAACATACACAATTTTAATTGGGAATTAGTAATTGATCCTTTACAACTACATTAAATTTATGTTTATACTCTTAAAGTTTTATATGCAAAAATGTGATTGCTTTTAATAATTATTGTTGCTTATTGGTATACAAAGCTAAATTCATTTAATTAAATATTTCAAAAAGGCTGCATACTTCCAATAAACATATATTTTATTAACTTCTTGTTGTAAAAAGTAAATAAATCATTGCAAATAATAAATTAAAGTAAGCTCAACATTTTTAAAGCCTTGGCGTGTTGGTTTAAATTTGAATGAAACCAAAGGCACTTTTTTAATTTAGATATTTAGAAATGTATTTAAAAAATGTCTTTTCTCCTTAAGGCGAATTCCAAGCGTGTTCAAGCATCCAACTTTTGTTTCAACTAAGTATTTTCCTTCGAATTTTCGTCTTTGTCCAGGGCAAGGACTGGCAGGCTTTTAAGCCTTTAAGCAAACACAAAAAACCATTTTCCACTTGCAACACATTCTCTGCATACATACACATGTGGCAAGGCTTTTCAACTTGTTGTCTCTCTTAGCATTTTTAAAATCAAAAAGCGACACAACGTCAAAACAATTTGTCGTCATTTAAAAGTCGACATTTAAATAAGAAAATGCAAATGCGAGGGCGCCCGCCAAGGCAGCAGCAGATTGTCCCTGTCCGCCTAAATGTATGCAATAATATTTTTATGCGCACGAAAGACACCGCATACGTTTCGTTTGCATAAAATTAAGCCGCCGTCTCTGGCGGACAAGCAAACAGACTAGAGGCTAGAGCCCAATGTCCCACCTCCTCCTGGCCGAGCGTGACGAGCGCAGCTGTAAATATAAAGTGTCAGGGAAGGCACCACACCACACCACACCACACTTGGCACTGCAAAACGTGTCTATTACAATTCAATTTGACAATAGGCGCACACAAAAGCCAGCCCGAGCAACAAACCAGCCATCCGACCGCACTAAGCCACCGTTCAGCAGAGTCCCCATCGCAAACATGCGGCACAGACCCACAACTGAGGCCCACAAATCACAGAGACCCAAAGTAGACTCACAGTACACTTCTTGGGAAAAGTCTGGGGAAAAGGATATATAGGAAAGAAAGGTTCAAAAGGATCATAGATCCCTTACATAGTTCTTTATTGAAAGGATCACTAGGGTCAC